CTGAGGAGCTGATGGCGCAGATTGACTGTGGCTACAAAAGTATTTTACCATCAGCGGGTCTGGAGTGACTGAATAATCCACTGTAAAGCGTCTTTGTGACAAATGTCTGTGAAAAGCGCTATTTCAATAAAAATACTTAAATAATAACTAATCATGTCGCCATTTTCAAAGGCAGTTATGCCAAGACTAGGCCTGCAGTGTTCGAACTATGTTTTGTATTTTGCCTAACGATATTAGAGTTTTACTTTCTGCCTCTGCGTCTCATTGGCTCTGTCCTCGGCCAATCAGAGAGATTCTTACAGGCTAAAAAACACAAACTGCCCCAGTCATCTTAATTGACATACAGTTTATTCTTGTATTTTCCTGGACAACCTTTAAAAATGACTTAATGTTATGAAGTTAATAAAACTATCAACAAAATAAAAATTAAGATGCCGACATTAGGGCTGGGTATCATTAAGAAGCTGCCTGATACGATATATACCTCGATACAGTGCACTTTCAGTTTGATTCAATAAGGTTCAATAAAAAAATAAAGTCTAAATCATGGCTGTGATACTAAAAGTCGTTGTTAAATTATTTCTTGTGCAAAGTTCATATGAAACACAAACATTTTATTCATCAAAACAGTAAAAATGTCAAATGTGTCGCATAAAACAGTTTCCTTCCTCTAAACAAACAACAAAACTGCAGCTGTAACAAAATAGTTTAGTAAAATATATCAAGAAAATACTGTATCATCACATTAAACGATGTGATATAACGATATGATGTTTTTGCACTCCTGTAGCCAACACAAACATGGATCAGTACGAACAGAAACCACAGATGAACAGTTTTTTTGCTTACACAGAAGGACATAACATCATGTGAGGAGACGTCGCTTCCTTTTGTCTGTCGCAGCTGTTGGTTTCTGAACTACAGGACGTGTTGACTCAGTTTTTGCTGAAAGACTGTGACCCCCTCCTCGACTGCTCCCTGAACATACTGCAGCTATCACAAAACAAACAGCAGCTGGACTGGCAGAGCTTTCATTGGAAGTGTTACAGTCTGTCTCTATAAAGTGTAGAAATGAACTGTTTTATTGTGGTTATATTTGTTTATTGAGTTTAGGCAGTTTTAATGTTTGTGATCCTGTTGTAGAATCAACTGAAGAAATTGACTCTGTTTTATTGTGGTTACACAATAACAGTAATAACTAAAATATCATGATATCGTATCGTCAAAAGTCTCTCAGTAATATGTAGGGATGTCCCGATCACGTTTTTTCATTTCGTTCAGTTGATTTTGAGTATCTGCCGATACCAAGTCCCGATCCGATACTTCTATAAAACATAGCAAAGAATAAGATCCAGGATCTTTGGGGGATCAGATTGTGGTGATTTCAATGTGTATTTGGGCTGAACTTAGTGTGAAAAATGAAATGTCCAAAACTTTAATTTTATTCACTTTTCTAACCGTGCACCATCATTGTTGAAAACTTGACTTTTCACAGTCTGGTCTTGGAATGTGTAACTTAGTAAACTTAATGAACTGGACAAAACAGGAACCAACCCAGAATCAGACCAGACCTGAGACTCGACTCTGCACAATCTACACTTTGTATATTTGACATAAAATGGAAGCACGTGCTTTACATTTGAAACATTTAGGTTCGTCTATGATCCAAATAATACAAAACATTACCAAATAAAAATAAGATGACAGAAACCCCACAGCCTCTCTCCCCCGCACCGCCACCACCTCCACAAACCCACCGCAGAGCACAACATCAGTCCCACCGCTCAATAGATGCTCCACGCCGCTACACAGCATGCAAACACGGGCCACAGAACCACAGGTAACAGCGCCCGAGCACGACAAAAGTCCCAGCGTAAGTGACCCTGAGCAAATCCAACACCTCAGTTAATAAAAAAAAACTGTTGTCTGCTGTGTGTCCTGTGTGTTATATACCTATATTATTTATACCTGAGCGGACCATAACGCCCGAGTCCGGATCGAGTCCACAGATCAGATCGGGACAACCCTAGTAATATCGTGGACCATCACAATATATCGAATCACAAGTTTCTTTGCTTAAATTCACTGTTATGGTGCAGCAATAGCTAAAAAACAGACAGAACTACATCGACCATGATCCTTTGCTCCATTTTTATGCAAACTACATGAATGAATGAATAATACATGAATATTAATAATGAATAATACATCGTAATACATAGAACATGCATAGAGAACATAAATACTTAGATATAACAAATTTCTTTTCTGTAATAATAAATGTCATGCAGATTTTACTTGTGTCTGAAAAACTAGTGGGAGGAAGTAAATACTTATTTAACCCCACCCCTTTTAACTACAGGAACAGATACACTTCTCATTTCCTGTACAATATAAGCTCTAATTCACAGTACCTGCATTTGAAGAAATAACAGATCTAAGCACTTTTAATTCTTTGGATTACGTCTTGTCAAGGCATTTTAAGAGGATTAAGTAGCATATTCACAATTTTGTTAGTCTCCACAAAATATTGCAGTAAATCTCGTACATTGAGATGTATATCGTGAAAATATCGTATTGAGAGAGTTGGATATCGTTACATCTCTAATGGTTTTATTTGCGTAATGCGTGACTTAAGCCAGTTTTTAATGTTTAAGGTCCTGTTATAGAGTAAAGTGAAGAAATGGACATTGTTTTATTGTGGTTTTATTTGTGTTCTGGGCTATTTTAGGCAGTTTTAATGCTTATGGTCCCGTTATAAAATAAAGTGAACAAATGGACATTGTTTTACTCTGGTTTTATTTGTGTTCTGGGTGGTTTAGGCCAGTTTTAATTTTTAAGGTCCTGTTATAGAATGAACTGAAGTAGCCCAAGAGTTGGAAGAGACGTGAGTTTGAGGAGAAGTTTATGCACCGTCAGTGTGGGACATTGTGATAGTATTGCTTTCATTGTAGGGAGTATTATACCTATGATGATGTAGGCCAGTGGGGCTGACACTGCACAGAAATGCAGTTTCTCTTATCAGGCCCGGCATGAAATACTTATGCCTCTTTTGTATTGTTTTAGTCTTTAGTTCTTTTTTAATTATTATTTTTATTTATTTAAAACAAGGACAGTGCACAAAAAACATTAAACTCAGAAAGAAAAGATGCTCTGCGCCAGATTTAGTTACAAGCTCCTTTCCATCTGCCGTCCTTGGCCACATGCAAAATACATTAAAGAAACTATTTACATTAATTTAAAAAATGTAAAAATCAATTCTTCTGGACAAGTTTAAAATATGAACTTTGAGCAGAGTCCCATTATTAAAACGTAAACCTCAAATCTAATCTCAGTGCTTGTCACAGGGCTGCTCGATTATTTTTTAGTTACACGATGCATTTATTCAACAATTCTCTGTCAAAAAACACTTTGTTATTGATAATTTATGCAAAACTTTCACACTGAAAATAAATATAGGCTACAAATATGAACTTTAGAGCAGTTTGCAATGTATAAAAAAAAGTATATTTTATTCATTTTAACATTAAATAAGGCAGAAAAACATAAATGTATCCAAAATAAACTATATATCCAGCTCTTCTACAATCTCTATGTTTAAAAATGAAAATAAATATACTTATTTATATAAAAACTATCCCAAAATAAACTTTGTTAAGCTTTAATCATTTCAGCTCTATGAGTTTAGAGATCGTTTGACACACAAATCAAAATCATGATCAAAATTAAATTAATTGCACAGTCTTAGTTTGGAAATTAGGGTAAATTAAGAATGTTTTGCTTTTCTGGTCTTCATGGAGACAAGCAGGTGGCTGACCCTCTACCAGAAAACTTCCATAACGAATACCGGCGCGAACGTCCCCTTCTCCCTCTGGGCGCCCGCTTTTTGGGCGGCTCGGGAGAGGGGGGACGTTCTCGCCGGCCTTTTAGTCACGCACTGTGATGTATTGAGTTAGAAAATCAGCTTCTATATCATAATAAACTGAAATGTGAATGTAGCGAGACCAAATGTCGGGCCTTGTTTATGTCAATTTGCCGATCTTCTCGAAGCGGCACACATTTTTTCAGTCTGTAATATCAATATAATCCTTATTTGCTCGCAGAAGTTTACTATGAAGTCGTATTTTAAATCATTTTTCTTGTGTCTCCATGTCGACTGTTGATTTGGGAAAAAATATGAATTATTTCCTTACCTGTTGCCATGAACATCATCAACTCATGTCAGGTGTCATGTCATGTAACGGGATAAAAGCAGGGTGCTCATCCTTCCCAAATCAGAATACTTGCTCAACATTAACAAATGTGTTGAGATATACTGCAACTTGCGTGTGTACTAGCTGATTTCCTGCATGACACACATTTAATGTTTAAAAAAAATTAAAAATATTAGAGACCGATACAAGGCTGGTCAAGGACATTCATTTATCAACAAAGTAAACATCTTACAAATATGTTTTTACGATCCACCATCATGTAACAACCTTTCAAATGCTGTAAGTTTGGGGAATAATATAGTATGTCCCAGTTTACTAGTAAGAAGTGATCATAGTTGATGGTAACAAAAGATTGTATTACGTCGTAAACTGTATTTTTCTTTTAGTTTTTCAAAGGACAGTAATGATCTTTTATCAAAACAGTCCGCCAAGATATGAATCCCATTTTGGTGCCACGATTCCAAGATCTTGTCGCCCAATCGGAAACACTTGAACCTCACTGGGCCGCATCAATGGACCCTTTCCGAAACTGCAGCTTCCCACCCGAGCCGTACCTTACCATTAAGTTACTACGGAATGCTGTTAATCCTAATACCTCCGTTCAGATGTCACATACCACAGGCTAAAACCAAAGTTACCAGAGCCCTTCTCACACCCAGCCCGGCCCCTCACAGCCTCCTGACACAATGTAGAGAGGATTCCTGCATCCTTAAGCGGCGTATGCGCAGTATATTATTCTAGTTGAGTGGACATGTTCAGGACTCTGGTCTCCTCGTGTCTCCGCAGATCGCACAGAGACTCCTACATCCGCATGATGGGAAGACCGGACACGCCGCAGGACAGGTCAGTGCCACTTTCACTTCTCTGGGTTTCTGCTAAATTCTCTCTCTGGGCGTTGCAAAACTAAAGTCTGTGGGTGTTGTTTCTAAACTTAAAGCTCAAAGTTAAGCCTAAAATTATTATTTGAGTGAGATGACTAACGTGTTTTTTCACTCTTGGAATGGTTGTGTTGAACATGTAAAACAAGTGGTTATGATAAATTTACTCTGGTATTTAACTGTATTCATTAAAAAATAAGTTTTATCAACCTACTGCAAATCATAATACCAAATTTTGTACTTTTATCGCATATAGGGCTGGGTATCATTAAGAAGTTGCCGATACGATACATACCTCGATACAGTGCACTTTCGACTCGATTCAGTATATTTCAAATCGATTCTATATGATTGAATAAAAAATAAAAGTCTAAATCATGTCTGTGATACTAAAAGTCTTTGTTAAACCACTTCTTGTGCAAAGTTCATATGAAACACAAACATTTAAATCATCAAAACTGTGAAAATGTCAAATTTGTTGCGTAAACAAGTTTCCTTCCTCTAAACAAGCAACAAAACTGGAGCTGCAACAAAATAATTTTGTAAAATACACCAGAAAATACAATATATCGATACAGCAGCCCACGATATTGATACTGCATCATCACATTAACGATACGATATAACGATATTTTTGCACACCCCTACTGTTTAGTTATTCCCATGTTATGTGTGCCTTTTCAAAATTAAGATTCACAACTAGTCCAGGGTTAACTGTAGGGCTGAGTATCATTCAGAAGTTGCCGATACGATACATATCTCAATACAGTGAGCTTTCGATTTGATACGATATATTTCAAATCGATTTGATAGAGTTTAATAAAAAATAGAGGTTAAATCATGGTTGTGATACTTAAAGGTTGTATGGAGGATTTTTTAAGGAAAGAGAAATACAGCGACAGTCCTTTTTCAAATGTTGTGCAAACGTGACACCACCTTCCTCCTCTACAGCTCCCTCAGTAGAAATACCTCCTCCATACTCTAGAAATCACGTTTGTTTACAGCCAGTGCGTGTTCAGAATTACTGTTGAAGTGACCTGTCTAGAAATAATTTAGAGACCGACATGTCAGTTTTTAGACCCTTCGTCTGCTTCATTCGCGCAATCGCTGGAAGGAATCTCCAAGAATCACCTCAGTTTGGCTTCGCTCCTTTTCCCCTTCTCTTCTTCTTTCAGCGACCTCAAAAACAGACTTTCTTTTGCGGCGAACTGGTCGTGGATTCTCGTCCGCCATCGCAACAAACTTTGTGCAAACTGCGTGAAAGCTACAGTTTGAAAAAGCCTCTAAGAACCGCTGCGTAAACCACATAATCCCCGCACGCCTGAGAGTCAGTTACACTAGAAACGCAGGGAGTTTGATTGACAACCTAACAGCCAATAGATAAAGAGGGAGCCTCGTTGTCTATTGGCTGATGTTTATCTGGCCTCACTACGTCCACAGTTGATAGATTTTCTTTTTTTTTTTTTTAGTCATTATAATTACAAAGCTGCTGCATCTCTGTAATGGTATATTAAACTTTCATTGACAATTTGAAACTAAAAAAAAAAAATCCTCCATACAACCTTTAAAGTCTTTGTTAAACCACTTCTTGTGCAAAGTTCATATGAAACACAAACAATTTAATTCTCAAAACAGTGAAAATATTGGTGTATTCCGATTCCTGACCTAGTCGTTGGAGAGAAATGAAATCGAGCAGAGGCACTAGGTGTCGCCAGCCGGGCTAATATTTTATTGTTGATTGTGATCATGTTTCTCTAAACAGAATTAATATTACTCAAGTTTAAACAATGAAAAACAGTCATTGAAGCAGCAAAAAAAGGATCCATAATTCGCCCAATTGGACATTAAATGTAGCCCGTTTCTTTTAATTTTCAACATTCAATTGAACCAGCAATACTGGAATAAAATAGTCAGTAAAATAATTACAAAAAGATTAGAAATGATGCAAAACATGTCTTAACATTTCAACCAAAAGGCGACACCCAAAAATATCTCTTGGGACAAACCTGAGAGCCACGATTCACTCTTTTGGAAACAATGTTCTAAACCACTCTTGCAGTTCATTTTAATTTTTTCATTTTCATTCACGTTGAAGTATTACACATGTTTTTGTTTTTGTTTTGTCCGTGCAGGGGCTGCCGTGTGGGGATCAGCTTCTTCATCCTGGGCCTGGGGACACTGTTGCCATGGAACTTCTTCATGACCGCCTCGCTGGTAAAAACGCTTTTATAAAACATGATATCATTTTGTTTGAGGACGAGGGGAAATCCCATTCGATACACGTGATTCTCCTCCTGACCTAGATATAAAAAATATTACAATTATTTTGGAGGAAGAGTCATATTTGGCTCCTGGCGATCTTCGTGAACAAAGTAAGCACTGTCGAACACACAGATGCCCTTCCTGTTGGAACTGACCACATCGCTGAAATGGCTGACTAAAGGCTGCTACACACTACAGGAGAATTTGCCCGATTTTGACCCGACTTTGCGTCTTCGTGTGTGATTCTGAAGCCGCTGCGCTCCTCATGGGTGTCAGATCATAACCACAAAACATCAGCAACTCTACGGGAACAACCAATAAAACAGAGCGGATGGTTTGACGGACACAGAAACGCAACACACAAACTCAAGAAATACTGAAAATAATGACAAGACATTTGGCATATTTGTTTTTGCAGTTTTCAGTTTTAGGGGGTTATTTTTTCTTGAACGTATATCGAGATATATATCGTATATCGAGATATATATCGTATATCGAGATATAGCAAAATATATCGAGATATATTTTTTGATCCATATCGCCCTTTCCTATTTTGGACTATAGCCCTTTTTTCTTTTTTCTTTTTTTTCGGTAATTCCACTCATTGCCGGACACTAAACCAGGTCTAAAACCAGGTCTAAACCAGTTCAAAACCAGGTCTAAAACCAGGTGGAAACTAGGTCTAAACCAGGTCTTAACCCAGGTCCAAATCAGTTCTAAACCTGATCTAAACCAGGTCTAAACTAGGTCTAAACTAGGATTAAATCAGAACTAAACCAGGTCTAAACCCAGTTCTAAACCAGTTCTAAACCAGTTCTAAACCAGGTCTAAACCAGGTCTAAACCAGGTCTAAACCAGGTCTAAACCAGGTCTAAACCAGGTCTAAACCAGGGCTAATCCAGGACTAAACCAGGTCTAAACCAGGTCTAAACCCAGGTCAAAAACTAGGACTAAATCAGGACTAAACCAGGTCTAAACCAGGTCTAACCCCAGGACCAAACCAGGTCTAAACCAGGTCTAAACCCAGTCTAAAACCAGGTCTAAACTAGGACTAAACCAGGACTAAAACCAGGTCTAAACCAGGACTAAAACCAGGTCTAAACTATGTCTCAAACAGGATTTCACAAGACTAAACTTCATCTATCAATAATATTTTTAATTTGGTTCAGTAAAGTCTGGGCTTTTTATTTTCTTTTATCAGACAAAACCAAACTTCTCATGTGAAGATTTTCTCGTCTTTGCTTTTCTACAGCAAATCAAGTAATCCAAAGTATTCAGATTACATTACTCACTTTAAGTAATTTAATGGATTCCGTTACAAACTACATTTTGGGGTATGTAATCTGTAATCTGTAGGGGATTACATTTTAAAAGTAACACTCCCAACACTGTTTACAGATCAGACTAATAAAGCCGTCAGAGGTGAAAGAATAAAGCTCCGTCTGTGCTCTGGAGGCGGCCTGTTATCACCAAATCAAATTAGGTGGACGTGGTTTGTGTGAACGCTGCAGCCTGCGCCCAGAGCAAATATAAATCGGGGAGTGCAGATTTTATAAATGAATTGCAAACACCAGTGAAAGGTTCTTATATCACAGAGCTGCTCTCTGTGCTCAAGAAGGTCCTAGATTAGGCAAAATTCTGTTTTTCTAAATTATCATTACCCACTTAAACTTGTATTTGGAGTGACTGAGTGCGGTTACTTGCGCACGAGTTTCCCGGTTATGAGTTTCATCCGGGTTCTGACAGTTTCTGGATCTGGCTCTGGATACTCATGTCTCCGTGTACATGAGGAATCAGAGTGTCCTGGGTATTTAGAGCGATTGCTGTTGTAACTATGGCACAGATGTGGCACAGAAGGAGCTAAACATGTAGAAACGTTGGTAACTTAAAGGTTGTATGGAGGATTTTTTTTGTTTTGTTTTTTTGTTTCAAATTGTCAATGATAGATTATAGAGGTGCAGTCGCCTTGTAATTATGATGACCAAAAAAATGAGAATAAAAATTCATCAACTCTGGACGTGGTGGGGCTAAACATTTGCCAATAGAAAACGACACTGCCTCATTATCTGTGAGCTGACAGGCTGTCAATCAATCTCCCTACGTTTCTAGCGTAACTGACTTGACTGCGCGCTGCCGGTACATGGTTTACGTACGACTGTCACGCAGTCCACAGACGCTGTTTACTCCACCAACGCAACAGTTCTTAGCGGCTTTTTTGACCTATATCTTCCTCGCAGTTCGCACAAAGTTTATTGCAATGGCGACAAGAATCCAGGAGCAGTTCGCCGCAAAAGAAAGTCAGTTTTTGAGGTCACTGAAAGAAGAAGACAAGGGGAAAAGCAGCGAAACCAAACTAAGGTGATTCTTGAAGATTCATTCCAGCGATGGCGCGACTGAAGCAGACGCAGGGTCTAAAGACTGACGCACTGGTCCACAAATTACTCCTGGACAGGAAACTTCTGCTTATTATGAAAACGTACTTTATTTCCAAGAGCTACACAAACGTTTTTCAGGACACGAATGCGATATCCTATGTCTGAAAACTTAATTTTCAAGGCAAAGAAAGAGTCCGCTTGCTGCTGCGTGTTGTAGTAGTAGCTAGTTCATTCGCACAGAATCTCCGCGCCCCCCTCTCTGCCCGTTCCGCTCTTCTCCCTGCTCCTCACGGAATCTCCACGCACCGCTCCCCTCTCCTCTCCTCTCCTCTCCTCTCTCCCCGCTCCGTTCTTCTCCCTGCTTCTCACTTCTTGTCCGCGCACGAAATGTCCGCGCACCCCTCCCCCCGCTCCTCACTTCTCCGTCTTGCCTAACCAACACTGTAGTTAGTTGTTTACAAGTCATGTGCAGCGCACCGGTTTCTGGCGTAAGGATGAGGCGGGAGGAGGTGTTTCTACGTAGGAGCTGTAGGGGAGGGGGGGTGGTTTCACGCATGCGCAACATTTGAAAAAGGACAAACAGTCGCTGGATTTCTCGTTCCTTGGAAAATCCTCTATACAACCTTTAAGACTATTTAACGAGTTTCTCACAACATAAAGAAGACAAACATTCAAGTAAGAACATGAGACTGTGGAGCTCTTTCACAGCTTTCAGTAAAGTCGTTTTTAAAAGATGAAAAATACAGCACAGTGTCAGATTCAGTTTAGTTCAAAAGCAGCACAAATGGGGCTGGGTATCCTTAAAAAGTTGCCGATACGATACATACCTCAATACATAGGCTACTATCTCGATAAAGTGACCTTTCAATTCGATTTGCTATATTTCAAATCGATTTGATACGGTTCAATAAAGACTTAATCATGACTGTGATACTAAAAGTGCAAAGTTCATATGAAACATAAACATTTTAATCATCAAAACAGTGAAAATGTCAAATGTGTTTCATAAACGAGATTCCTTCCACTAAACAAACAACAAAACTGTAGCACTGTAACAAAATAATTTAGTAAAATATACCAAATAAAATACTTTTGGCGATATATCGATACAGCAGCCCACAATATCGATACTGCATCATCACATTAAACAATAGGGTATATCAATATTTCAGTATTTTTGCACACACCGAAGCACAAACCACCACAGAGATGAACCTGGGGTTAAAATGTAGCTGAATTGTGTTCATAGGTATAAAATATTATTACTTAAAAAGTCCTGATTTTGAGTCATTTTGGTAAAGTTGTTGCCCCTACTTGAGTTCGCACATGCTCAGTACAGCTCCATTCTAAGTGGACACTCACAAAATCAGGATACTCAAAAAACCCGATCATAACTGGGACACTCGAGCGCATTTGAACGCACTCATTGTTGCATTTTTTGAGTAATCGTCATTGTAATTTCTTCTAAAAACCGTAGTTACTTATACAGCGGTTCACAGCGACATATATACTACACTGTCCCTGTTAAAATCTAATAAAAAAAATAAATTCTAAAGGGACAGTGCTGCAGTTTTCAACCGGAAGTCAAAAGAGTAGTTTAAATGTCCAAAATATAATCTATGACAGGGCTCTCCATCCTGTGGCTCGGGAGTTACCAGTAGCTCTCCTCTCCCTTCCAAGTTTCTGAAGTATACATATTGTGCTGAAAGTCTCAGATTTGATGAACTACGATTGTAAATGTATAATTTTGATGCCTAACTTTGTTAAGGCGACCAGACGTTCCTATTTACCCGGGACAGTCCCACTTTTGAGCCCTGTGTCCCCTGTCCCAGCAGAGTTAACACAAACCAGTGATTTGTCCCAGTTTTATACAAGAAATGTCCCAGGTGTCCCTATTTTTGACAAATCTGATCCCTTCCAACAGTAAAGAGAAACATCAATTCTCATTTCTTTTGATAAAATACAGAAAAGCCACTTAAAAATGACCAAAACACAAAGAAAATGTGACTATACTGACTCACATGTTTGTCTGCGTAACAATTTTCCTTAATTTCGCACTCGTTTCACAATTTTAATATTACCAACCACCAGTGTTGGGAAGTTACTTTTTAAAATGTAATCCCCTACAGATTACAGATTATATAAACCAAAATGTAGTTTGTAACGTAATCCATTAAATTACTTAACGTGAGTAACGTAATCTGAATACTTTGGATTACTTGATTTGCTGTAGAGAAGCAAAGACGAGGAAATCTTCACGTAAGATGTTTTGTCTGATAAAAGAAAATAAAAAAGCCCAGACTTTACTGAACCAAATTAAAAATATTATTGATAGAAGACGGTTCGCACGGCATGGTTTAGTCCTGTTAAATCCTGTTTGAGACATAGTATAGACCTGGTTTTAGACCTGGTTTAGTCTTGGTTTAGTCCTTGTTTAGATCTGGTTTTAGACCTGGTTTAGTCTTGGTTTAGTCCTTGTTTAGATCTGGTTTTAGACCTGGTTTAGTCTTGGTTTAGTACTTGCTTAGACCTGGTTTAGACCTAGTTTTAGTCCTGGTTTAGTTCTAGACATGATTT